GGAGCTGGCTCATGAAGCATCTTTGTATCATGCTACCCATTTCCAGCTCTAGGTCTATTGCAATTCCCTTGATGAATCCCGCTGCCAAAAATTATGTGAAAGGAAACAAATCTCAGGATACCATTTAAAGTCACTGCCATGGAAAATAGAAAGCGTCTGGGCTAATGGGGGATGCTTGCCTAGACAGATTTCAGGAAATACTACTTTGCAGCCAGCCTTAGGCCTTTCATATATTAGGAACCTGGCAAATTACTCTCTCAATAAAGGAGCAGCAAGTATTAGAGAAAGACCCCAAGAAAACATGTTTCCAGGATGACCGAAAATGGCCTTCTCCATAAATAATGTAAAGAACGTTTGAAGTTATTTATTCCTGTATCTTCCCACTTGGAAAACTGCGCTCATCCTCAGAAATACCCAGATAACCAAAGCAAACCCCTAAAGGAAGAATGTGCCCAGAGATACTCCACACCGTTGGTAAGACTCGAAACTGGAAGGGGTTCTTTCAAGCTTGAACAATTACCACACAGCTGTACCTCTACAACAGGTGCTTTAACAAGAGCAAAACAGTTTGCAAACATTGGTGGAATGCCCCTCGGGGTGAGATGGTTCTTTAGAGCTCCGCAGATTTAAAAAAAAGAAAAAAAAGAAAAAAAAAGAGAGACACTGAAACTTTTATTGAGCTGTAGTGTAAAAAGAACTCCTAACTAATAATCTCTCTAACCCCCAGCTAGGTGGGAAGTATATATAGAGATACAAGGGAACAAGTATTTGAACTTCATACATAAGATGGAAAGAAACACCGACTTTCCCCCTTACATACAACCCCAAAACGTGCCAGTCCCATAATTCAGTATTACAGGACCATCCCCCTCCCTCAGCAATAGGTTAATAGTGCTCCAAGCCCAATTACTATCTCAACAGACACACTCTCCTGCAGTCCTTACAGCTGTATTTACCATTGGAATTACTGCCCACATATCTTAACAACAAAGATACAAAGCCTGAGACCTCTCAGTAATTTACTGAGCTTTGGGCTCATTCTGCTGAGCCCATTTTGAAGAACAAAAAGCTAGTTGAGTTACCAGTAGTTTAGCAGCTCCCTCTTCTCCAAAGCTCTCAAGCAGACCCCTAGGAAGCCAGAAAAGAAATAGTAGCTCGAAATTGGTATCTGTGGCAGTCAGTAATGTAAATGTGCAGTGGAATACTTTGTGTGCCCACATCATATTTAGCAGAAATGCATGGTTTCTGCTTAGTTTAAGGAAGTTTTTGTAAGATTGTTTCCATTTTACTGGGGAAATTGATCAGAAAATTCTGGAACAGGGTTCATTTAATTGCTATTTAAAAGTGCATATACATTTTAGACATGTATCGCACACAACTCATGTTAACCGCTTTACATATTTTTACAACAGGAATACTTTGATTCTGAAATTCTAGAAAACAACATATCTGAAATCTCATATTCCTAATAACTGTAACAGCCCAAGCCTGGGCTGAGCTCTCCTGTCACCAGCAGCCGCCAGTGCCAGATGCTACAATATGGCCACGAGCTCCTATTTATAGTAAAAGTTGCCCTCAGGGAAAATCCACTCACGTGAGTATTATTTGCAGTTGACAGCGGGTACACTACACCTTGGAACTTAAGGGTTTGTCTCTTCTCTAGAATACCTGGAGGTGTTTGTGTTTCTTGTAAACAGATTTTACTACTAAAATTTTGAATATATTTGCTCACAATGTGAATGTCGAGCTGTACTGAGAGATTTCAGTCTAAGGGCCAAGGCTGCCAATTGCCCTTGGTTAAACTTCAGAGCTAAAATACTAATATGTACTGGATCTATTGTGATTTACCTAAGTCTTGTTCTGTAAAATAAACTGCTTTTACATATATATATATTAAAAAAAAAAAAAAAGGCAAACTGGTACATCAGCAAACACTTTAGAGTTGCTAACTTACTGGTCATATCACTAGAACTGTTAACCTCTCCAGCACCTAGTTCTGAAAGATTTTACACAGTCTGGCTAGACCCAGACTCATAAAATTTCACACACCCACAGCACAGAAAGAGATTCTGGGCAGGAGAAAAAACAAAAACAAAAACCAAAACCAAACCAACCAACAACTAAACAAAATACATTTCCCCTGAAAAGCATAGTTTTATTTTTGAAACCGTGTAAGCTCAGATTAAATAGAATTTATGTCCTGGTAAATTTTCACAATAAGCCTGACAGAAATGCAAAATATATTCATAGTCAAAAAAAGAATGAGCATCAAAATCATCCTTAAATGTTCTGCTATACTGATGTCACTGCCAGAGTAGTTGGGCTTTTCTCTCTAAGTATGTATTATTCACAAAATATAGTAAGAGAATTTACTTTTTTTTTAAATGGTTGTTCTACACAATCTTCTCAGTAAGAGGACAAAGCTTTCAAAGTGAAGACAGACAGAAGTAATTCTGAGTCAGCCCTCAGAATATCTGGAAAATGTTCTGTTATTTAGAATATAAGCAGATAATAATATATCAATCCATAAACATAACCTTGCCCCAATGAAATTGATAAGGCTGTTGCCTTCAGGTTTACTGGAACCAGAAACAGCCTAAAAATCCAGAGTGCTTCTTTCCAGTCTCTAAAGACCCAGCTGTAATAAATAACGGTCTTTATTTTGTGTATTATCCAAAAGTTTCACCAGTAACTGATAAGACCATACATAGTAAGAATTAACTAAAGACTTATCCCCATTTGGAAAATGAAAGCAGCCCTTAGGCAACATGCCTAGAGGGCATCTGTATTAGTCTTCAAAAAATACTTGGCTCTCCTGCGCAAGAGCCGGGTCTCCCACCCACACCCAGAGTCTCAGTCAGAACCATCAGCCGCCTCCTGGGATTTTATACCTGTGGGTCCGCCAAAAAGAAATTAACCGCAAATTCACTAGTTACCTGTTGACAGTTCACATCACAAAGTGAAACAGCACTACATAAACAGAGAAAGGTAAGAGCAGACAGAGTGGCACGTCTTTTTTTAAATTTCACATCCAGTTTGGCACGGAACGATGCAGGTGAAGAGGGAAGAAGAGACCTTGCCAGTACTGACTCTCTCTCCTTTCAACAGAGGGGAGATCCCCACGTTTCTGTCCCAGGGTCTGCACTGCAGCTGTCGAATTAACCACCAGTCTCTATACAAATCCATCACTAACAAATGTTTTTAACAGGGTTGGAAAAGGCAAGGCAATTATACAGAGCAGTCCTAGCGCCCCTTCCCCACCAAGGGGTCTGACCCCAGTATTAAGCTCATTTAGAAAATAAGATGATGACACAGACATCATTGAAATGTTTCATCTCTTAGAAAAGATAATTAAAAAAAGGAAACACCTTTGCAGTAAACGGCAGAAAGATGTGTGAGCAGCTGTGAGCAGTGTCTTTAAAAGGTGTGCGCTAGAGTTAAAGCACTGGATTTCAGGTAACGTCCAGGAGCGTGTCCTCACTCCATAAAGACACAAAAAGACCCATCAATATTCTGTGAAAACTGTGAGGCCTAAATTACTGCAGATATACTATTAACCACCTAAATTGCTAAATTGTATCACTACAGCTAAAAGGAATATCCTACACATAAAATTAAGCCCATCAGTCAGAGATCTCCCTTTACAGAGCAACCCAAGGGCTGATCATTTGTAGGCAATAAATTTGAAGACAGCGGGTGGGAGGAGAGCTTTACCACACTGTTAGAAGTGTTTCAAGAAGCGCCTAACTCTTACTAACGAAGCATACCGTCTTTGCATCCAAGTCGCAAACTCTACCCTTTGAAACGATTTTGCAGGTTACCTCTTCGCTACGCCAGCCAGGACGCGGACTGCATCGCTTTCGAGCGTAGTCATTATCCTGCTCGTGCAACAACACTTATTTTACAGCCACAAAAACTACCTGTTTCCACACGAACTAACTCCCCGAGGAGGCCCTGGGTCATTTCTAGGCCCCGGCGCAGAAGCCCAAGCAAACCCTCTCCCCGCACCGAGTCCCCCACGCAGGACAGCGAACCCGAGCCGCCAACCGAAACCCCACCGAGGGGTTTCGTGACCCCCCGCCACGGCCGCGCTTCTCCGGCAGCCCACCCGACTCGAGTGGGCAGGGAAAGGTCTCCCTTTCCTGCCTGCCCGTGTTGAGCTTGGCACCTCTCGGCGGATCCAGTTTTGTTGCGGTTAGAGCATGACAAATTTCACCAGAAACCCTACACCTCTCTTGGCAGCGGCCAAAACTTCACGTTTTCCCTTCCCCCCCCCCCCCC